CTTAGCTCCGATTTTTGAAAACTCCGCCGCGGCCCCATGTCTTTAAGCCCGTATCCCACTATCAAATGGACGTATTTCTGTCAAACGGAACTATGTGCATTATGACGTGAGCTCTGATATGCATGCATTCTTATGGGTCTCAGGGCTCATGTCTTAATGCACATAGTTCCGTTTGATAGAAATACGTCCAAATGAACTCATCAAATGCAGGATGGCGGAGATGGTTTTCGCGCAGGTCCGCTATCAAAAGTTGGCGGGCCGTCAAATGTTGATAAACAATAATTGAAAGCGATCCTCCATCTTGCATTTGATAAGTTCATTTGATAGTTAAGTTCCCACTATAGTGGGACACGGGCTTTACCGCCAAAACTGTTCGAAAAGAATGGATCGTATTTTATACATCAAACAGCAGGTGAGACTGTATCGATATCGATTGTTTCAACATGTAGACATAGCCTCAAGAGTCAATTTATAGACCTGAGTTAACGGGTTTCTTGTGATAGGTTTAGGATTTTTATGGGTATAACATGGTAACAAAAGTGAAATTCTAGGAATTTTCCCATTTATAGCTTTTCCCACTTAAGTTGATTCGATCAACGCTATACGCGATGTATCTCATCGATTTGTTACATTTTTTTAGCCACTCGTCATTTTTCTCGAATTTCGAGATCGTACTTCCGTTTCCACGAGACTAAAGAATTCCTGTACCAAATTTGACGAAGAAATTCAACGTAATAAAGGCGTCGTTTTTTTAGGGAAAAAATATCGCATTCGAGCGCAGTTTCGATATCAATATCGAGTAGCTGAAAAAATGGAACTAATCGATACGATGTATCGCATGTCGTTCTGACACAAAATCAGGCCCGCCACATCCCATCTCCGGCCCTGGTACCAGTTTTCTGGCCCGGGTCCCTAGCACAGAGAGGGGTCCGGGGGGCCTTCCCCGGGAAATTTTTGAAATTTTAAATCTATTTGGACGTTTTGAAGCTCTTATGATGGAGATTTTCCATCAATTTCTGTAGAACAATTACGCCTTTTTTTTACTTTCAGCACCAAATACTTTCGAATTGTTGCATTCAAAACATCTATACATTTTTTTGAGGGGGGCAGATGATACTTCTCAACTCTAGGGGGAGCCGGGCCCCCTGGACTCCCCTTTCGTACGTCTATGGCGAGGGAGTTGAGCCATTGAAGTCGAGGGTGCCCAGACAGGAGGCTCTTAGCATCCGACAACGGAAGAAAATGAAACGCATCAGTTACTAAAAATATCATTCTACATATACCTACTCAAAATCTTGAAAACAGAAAGAAATCTCTAAAAAAGTAAAAAACATTTTATAGTGCCCTAGCGTGTTTTTGAAACTTTAATCACCTTTTGCCGAATTTTAGGGTATTTTTTTCACTTTTCTTTACGAGACAAGGGTTATACATGCATTCGTAGTGGTTTGTCACCTGCGTCACGGGCCCCTGCAGGACCCGGGCCCCGGTGCCAATTAAGGACCCAGTATCCTCCCCCCCCCTTGTGGTGGGCCTGCCACAAATAGAATATAATTTGCCAGCGCCTCATCAAAAGTTCACATGGAAAACCTACTGTCAGTTAAAAAATATCCTGGCTTAAAATTTCTTCACTATACTTATGAGTGTGAAGTTGCTATTTTTGAAGAAGCGGGTTACTTTGTTCCTGCAAAAAATAGTTTTTCATAACCCACCATACAATACTCTGGTTTCTAGCCAGGACTGGAATGATTTCCCCTTTTTTTTAAGTTTCACAAAAACCGACAGGAGCCGAGATAGCATATTAGGCCACGGCCGCCATCTTGGGTTTACGAATTTCGGAACTTTGACTAGAAATTTGAGTTTTCGGTCGAAAAATACCCCATGATACCGAGTTTCACCGAACTCGAACGAACAGAAACTGAGATAGCATATTAGGTTACGTCCGCCATCTTGGAATTGAAAATTTTCAAAAATTGACTAAAAATTCGAGTTTCCCGTCGAAAAATACCCTGAGACACCGAGTTTCAGAAAAATCTATCTAACAGGAGCCATTATAGCATTTTAGGCTACGTCCGCCATCTTGGATTTGAGAATTTTTAAAACTTGACTAAAAATTCGAGTTTCCTGTCGAAAAGTACCCCTGCTCACGCGGTTCACAAATCTCTATAACGAACAGAAACCGAGATATAATTTTAGGCCACATCAAACATCTAGGAGTTGAGAATTTTAAAAAATTGACTAAAAATTCCAGTTTCCCGTAGAAAAATACCATATATTGCCGCGTTTAAAAGACTTGAACAAACAGAGACCGAGATAGCATTTTAGACCACGTCCGCCATCTTGGATTTGAGAATTTTAAAAAATTGACTAAAAATTCGAGTTTCGAAAAGTACCGTCGAAAAGTACCTTCTGACACCGAATTTCAGAAAAATCCATCGAACAGGAGCCGAGACAGCATTTTAAGCCACTTTAGTCATTTCGGATTTTCGAATTTTGAATTTTTTGAATTTTGATTTAAAACGCGTGATACTCAAAATCGAAGCTCAGACTTGGATTTCTCGTAAAAAATCGATGCGATTTCATGTATCATACCCTGACACCGAATTTCAGAAAAATCCATCGAACAGGAGCCGAGATGGCATTTTAGGCTACGTCCGTCATTTCTGATTTCTGAATTTAAAAAATTTGACTTAAAAGGCATGATACCCAAAATCGAAGGTCAGATTCGGATTCCTCGTTAAAAATCGATGCGATTTCATGTATCATACCCTGACACCGAATTTCAGAAAAATCCATCGAACAGGAGCAGCAATGGCATTTTAGGCTACGTCCGTCATTTCTGATTTTTGAATTTAAAAAATTTGACTTAAAAGGCGTGATACCCAAAATCGAAGGTCAGATTCGGATTCCTCGTTAAAAATCGATGCAAGTTCATGTATCATACCCGAGCATAGCGTGAAGGAAAGAGACGTAACGAAGACATACTGACTCGAGCATATGAATGCAACGTGGCAACCCAGTGGCTCAGTAGGTCAGCGGAGGAGGAAGAATAAGAATTTATCGTGAGCAATTCCTCGGGACGAAACCGAACGCTTACTAAGCGCCGGCGCCTCCCCGTTCGGTTGCATCTCGAGCGACGGGCGCGGCGCGGCCCCGTTTGAACTACGCCGCCGCGGCGCGCGGTGGCGTAGTTCAAACGGGTAGTATGACAGAATCTATACGCGTCGTTAAACCTTTTTCCTTCACGCTATTTTAACATATGATACATGAAATCTCATCAATTTTTCACGAGGAATTTGAATCTGAGCTTAGATTTTGGATATTACACGTTTTAATCTATTTAAAATCGTAGGAGAAATTACAGAATTGTCCTTGAAAATTGATCACATATTAGTGTTTTTTTACGCCATTAAACCTCTTTCCTTCACGCTATTCTAACATATAATACATGAAATTGCATCAGTTTTTCAAGGAAAATCCGAATCTGAGCTTAGATTTTGGATATCACGCGTTTTAATCTATGTAAACTCGTAGGAGAAATTAGAGAATTGTCCTTGAAAATTGATCACACATTAGTGTTTTTTTACCCCGTTTTTCTTCTGCGTTCGCAGGCCCGCCACATCTCATCGCGGGCCCTGGTACCAGTTTTAAGGCTGGGCCCTTAGCACATGAGGGGATCCAAGGGGCCTTCCCCAGGAAATTTTTGAAATTTTAAATCTATTTGAACGCATTTTGATGCTTTAATGATGGAGATTTTCCATCAATTTCTGCAGAATAATTATGCCTTTTTTTACTTTCAGCACAAAATCCTTTCGAATGGTTGCATTCAAAACATCTGAATTTTTTTTTTTTGAGGGGGGAGGGGGTAGATTATACTGTTTTCAAATCTAGGGGCGGAGAGTAGGTTCCTCTGGACTCCCCTTTCGTACGTCTATGGCAAGGGAGTTGAGCCATTGAAGTCTAGGATGCCCAGACTGGAGACTCTTACCATCCGACGACGGAAGAAAATGAAACGCAGTTACTAATAATATCATTCAATAGTAAAAATCTTGAAAATTGATAGAAATCTTAAAAGATGTAAGAAGAATACTAAAGTGCCCCAGCCCCAGCGTGTTTTTGAAAATTTATTCACGTTTTGAGAAATTGTTAGGGTAAATTTTTCATTTGTCCTTACGAGATAAGGGCGGTACGTAAATTCGTAGTGGTTTCTCACTGGCGGAACGGGCCCCTCCAGGGCCGGGGCCTCAGTACCAGGGACCCAGTATCCCCCCCCCCTTTGTGGCGGGCCTGCACAAAATATAGCGTCCATCGAATCACCTTAGAACGTTGTATCCACTCGTCAAAATGTAGTCACAATGGAAGCTCAAAGTGAATCAATTTCAAAAATAAGTGCGGCTTAAAGTCGGGGCTTGACGTGATTGATGAGTGTTGCAACTCAATATAGAGCGGCGTGACTCTTTTTTGATCAACAATCGCGAACAGATCGTATTTATCGATTCACTTTGAGCTTCCATTTTAACGCCATTTTGACACAGGGCTTAAATCAGAGACAAGAGACCCTCCACTCGTACCTCGGCTATTGTGGAAGCTACTCTGGCAGCTATTACTTTCGGGACTTCAGCATTCTACTGTTGACTTACCTACATGGTTGATGTTTAACAACGTGTTGGTAGTTTCGTTTTGCAAACAAGTCGAAAATGGCCAAAGTTTGTGAAACTTGTTTGGCTAAGGACGTCACCCGGAGCTCACCATCGACCATGTAGGTAGGTCAACACCCGAAATTAGGGTGATGACTGATGCTCCCTAATAATTGTCCATAAGGAACTGTTGAATCCCCGAAAGTAAAATCTTCCACCTGTCGCTAGGAGGCCGGTGGAGGGTCTCTTGTCTCTGGCTTAAATACTGAGATTTTGGTTTGAGGTTATTTTGAACCAAAAGATACATCGAACTACAATCGAATACGATCTATTTCCGCTTTACCCTGATTGATATGGTTGTTGCAGGGATCTGGCGGCGTACTACGAGTATCCAGATGAGGAGAAGGACTACATCTGCTCACGGCCTGACGACTCGGGTATGCATCTCTGCAGCGATCTCCCCCCGACCAAGCTCGGGAACCTCGTTTGCACTGAGCCAGCACTCCCGTTCTCCAAGAACGCCCCGACCAACACCTCTTGCGTCAACTGGAACCAGTACTACTCCGAGTGCAAACCTCAGGGTCAGAACCCTTTCCAAGGCACCATCTCTTTCGACAATATCGGCCTCGCTTGGGTCACCATTTTTCTGGTCAGTATTCTGCCGGCTGTTTGGTTAGGTTTTTTTGACATTGTATTATATTGTATATTTTTCAAAAGAAAAAAAAAGAAGGATCTACAACGCGATTGTCAAAAGCATAGTAATCTACGGGTGTGAAGTATGGCCGATGAAACAGCGGACCCGGGAGGTTTTAGAGGCAACAGAGATGGACTTCCGGCGTAGATCCGCTGGTATTTCCAGAAAGGATCGCGTCAGGAATGAGACGGTACGGGAGATCATGGCTGCCAAGCAGACCATCGTGCATGATATTATGACAAAACAACTCATTTGGTATGGTCATGTCCAGAGAATGGCAGGAGACAGGATGCCGAAGAAGGTCCTTGATTGGGTTCCTCCTGGGAGAAGACGCAGAGGGCGCCCAATGAAAGGTTGGAGGGAAGGGATTGAAGCGGAAATATGTATGTATTCTGCCGGCCACAACGCCGCAACTAAAACACAGCAAAAACGCCGTAACTCCACCCAAAATGTTTTCCTATTTTCCAGCACGTATTTGCTCTATTACAAGAAAGTTCAATTGCAACAAGCCTTCATTTTAGTCATTTCTAGTTCCTAATGGTGTGGCGGAGTTGTATTGAAAAAATGAAGGATGTATATTCGTTGCACTGAAAAAAAGCGCATTGGATCTAGAGTCCAGACTCTTAAAAACATCGACAAGAAAAAGTACTCTTGATTCAATCAGAATCTAGCTTAAATCAAGAACCAAGCTTCTTAATTAAAGGGGATTTCGTTTTGATTCAAGCAAAAATCCGATTGAATCAAGAGTATTTTTTCGTGTCAATGTTTTCAAGAGTCTGGACTCTGGATCCAATGTGTTTTTTCCAGTGTGGGCTTTTTGTAAAACAGCATTTTGTCGGAAAAAAATTTGAAAAAGAGTTGAATGGAGATACGGCGTTTTTACTTTGGACGGTAGTGTTAAAGTTACTCACACAGATGGAAAGTGAAATTTCAAAAGGTTCAAATACATTACACAAAATTTGAAATTTGTTAAAATTTTTCGGAATAATTAATGCTAAACCCTGGAGGGCTTAGGGTGATCTTCCTGCTAATGCGACCGTGAATGCTACCCTAATGAGGCGCTGAACACGAAAAGAGGGGACGCATTGCCGAATCCAGCAAATTGGCAACATTGTTTTTCTCCATTTAAACATATGGAAACGTACCGATTCTTGGAGGGGCCAAGCGTTTCGACAAGAATCGATTATTTAACAAAGGTTTAGATGGAAGGAATCCGGTGTTGCCAAATTGCTGGAACCACTTCTGAAGGCACAAAAGGGAGTTTCCGTTTGGAAAATGGGGGAAATGGAGACTTTGAAACACCGCCAACGAGAAACGTGTTTTTTTGCAGTTTCGGTGTCGATGTTCCATTTACTCCATAAATTATCAAAGATCTTGATTTAAAAATGTCCGTTTCTTCACTCGGTTCGATGTTTTTGGCTGATCGCGTCAGAGGCGAGGCGTGAATACTCGATTATCGATATTTCCCCATTTGAAGCTATGGTAAAGAATCGATTACGAAGGTGTTCGTTNAAATCAAGAACCAAGCCTCTTAATTAAAGGGGATTTCGTTTTGATTCAAGCAAAAATCCGATTGAATCAAGAGTATTTTTTCGTGTCAATGTTTTCAAGAGTCTGGACTCTGGATCCAATGTGTTTTTTCCAGTGTGGGCTTTTTGTAAAACAGCATTTTGTCGGAAAAAAATTTGAAAAAGTGTTGAATGGAGATACGGCGTTTTTACTTTGGACGGTAGTGTTAAAGTTACTCACACAGATGGAAAGTGAAATTTCAAAAGGTTCAAATACATTTTACAAAATTTGAAATTTGTTAAAATTTTTCGGAATAATTAATGCTAAACCCTGGAGGGCTTAGGGTGATCTTCCTGCTAATGCGACCGTGAATGCTACCCTAATGAGGTGCTGAACACGAAAAGAGGGGACGCATTGCCGAATCCAGCAAATTGGCAACATTGTTTTTCTCCATTTAAACATATGGAAACGTACCGATTCTTAGAGGGGCCAAGCGTTTCGACAAGAATCGATTATTTAACAAAGGTTTAGATGGAAGGAATCCGGTGTTGCCAAATTGCTGGAACCACTTCTGAAGGCACAAAAGGGAGTTTCCGTTTGGAAAATGGGGGAAATGGAGACTTTGAAACACCGCCAACGAGAAACGTGTTTTTCGCAGTTTCGGTGTCGATGTTCCATTTACTCCATAAATTATCAAAGATCTTGATTTAAAAATGTTCGTTTCTTCACTCGGTTCGATGTTTTTGGCTGATCGCGTCAGAGGCGAGGCGTGAATGATCGATTATCGATATTTCCCCATTTGAAGCTATGGTAAAGAATCGATTACGAAGGTGTTCGTTACATCCTGTTTATCAATCTTTTTCCATGGGTTTAAATGACAGGTCAATCGATGTATCGCAAAGCACGCCATGCCTTTCGATAGGAGTTTTGATTCGATTTGAATGCAGTTCGCCGGAGAGAGAGATGGAGAAAGAAAATGGAGATTTCAGAAATAAAGATTTTAATTGAGACTTTTTAAAGAGATGGAATTAGAAATGAACTCTCAATTAGTGACGTTTTCAGTCACAAAAAAGAAAAGAGAAGGTAACAAGTGAAAAAATTCACAATACTACCTAGGGCTTGATACGACTTAATAATTTTTTTCTCTGTTATTTCTTCACGCAGGTCATCAGTCTGGAGGGTTGGACCGACATTATGTACTACGTCCAGGATGCACATTCCTTTTGGGATTGGATATATTTTGTACTACTTATTGTTGTAAGTGCAATGTGCAATTCAAGTATAATTTTTTTTTCTTTGTCAGTGCGACTCAACAACGAACCGATAGTTGCATTTTCCTAGCAGGGTTGGAGGATAACAATTTTCAATCGATAGTTTTTCTTACTACACAGCCTGGTCTAAGTTCCAAATTGGGGTCGGTCATATACAATGCACGATGCGGTAAACTAGATGTTTTATTTACCCCGTGCCGTCGCGAGGATGCAGAGATGGGAGCAACGGAGCCAGGAGCCGAAGGCGCCAAAATAAAAAATAAAGGGTAGAGGAAGGAAGAAAGATGAAAGGAAATGGGAGAAAAAGGAGAAACGAGAGGAGAAAAACAGTGAAAGTAATCGAGGGCAAAAGCAAAAATAGTGGGGAGTTAGGGACAGGAAAAATGGAGACGACGATGAAGAGGCATTGATATAAGGGCAACAGGCGCCTCTTTATATAGAAAATCACCCTTCAGAGCTTAATTATTAAACAAGTGGGCGCTCTTATTGGCGCCTCTTCCTTACATGAGGCATTTTCAACGACTTTGCGTGTCCTCAGAGGCCGAACAGTTGCATTAATTAAAATCCCTATCAACAATATAGCAGCTTAGAATAGCGACTAATGCGGTTTCTTGATATAATTATTTGGTGAAGGGTGTCGACGCATAAGGAACTCCTTCATTAAGAAACGATACTTCCTAGCATAGCCTCAGAGGCCCAATAGTTGAATCAATTAAAATCCCAATCAACAATATAGCAGTTTGGATTAGCGAGCAATGGGATTGTTTGAGATAATTATTTGATGGAGAGTGTTGACGAATAAGTTATGCTTTCATTGTGAAAATATACTTCTAGCGTGGCCGTGGCGGCAAAATATATGAAGAAATTCCCACCTTGTTATACCTGAACCGGATAAACCTCTATATTTGCCTTAGCTAAAGCATCTTAGATTTTTCCTGTGTACGATAAGTATCTTGATTTATTTTGCGAGGAAAGATCTGTACTTTTAAAGGATGCCTGTCATTCTTAATACGTTCAATTTCGTATAATACTGTGCAACACCTCTGTTGTGAAATAGTTGCTTCAGACATCGCCGCACGGCGGGCGGGTGGCCAGCGCGAAACGCGCATTGGCGCCTTCAAACCTAAGTGGATACTTCCAGCATTGTGCAACGCGCGAAGTATCCACTTAGGTTTGAAGGCGCCAATGAGCCTCTCGCGCTGCCAGCACGCCGCTCCGCTCTGTTCGGCTTTAATATTTATACTCACATAGTCAGCGTTTTTTAACTCATTATGTGAACTAAAAAAAGCAAGAATTATTCATTATCGAACAAGCTCATTTTATAAAAAAGACAATTCCAAGGAAGCTGGCATTAGTGCGCAAATGCAGTTTTATTTTAAGGGAACAATTTCTGCCAAGTTGAGTAGCGATTATATGAGGGGCGTTGAGGACAAAGCGCATAAATGCAGATTTTAATATTTCGGGAAATACGTGTTTGAAGTTTCGAAATTACATGGATCCTCATGGCGGAGGGAAGTTCAAACTGACGTTTTGATGCTTAAATATTGGAATGTGGGAGCAAATTTTTCACAGATCATGCATTAAGACTAGATTTACTTGAAATCATCAATATCTCAATTTTTCAAAACCTGCACTCATGCGCCTTGTCCTCCAAGCCCCTCATATAAGTTTTTATTCCATATTGACAGCCAAGAAATTGAGTCCGAACATCATGCATGTGGCTTTATCAATGAGGAATGAACAATATCAAGAACTCTGTCCTTTGTTTCTAGGCATAATTCGAAACCAATACTATAATGTAAATATTTGTTTTTACCCTCCTCTATCTTAAATGGCCTATTATTAAATTTGTGTTCATTTTTTCCGATGATTTTGCAGATCGGATCCTTCTTCATGATCAACCTGTGTCTCGTCGTTATTGCCACCCAATTCTCGGAGACGAAAAAGCGTGAGATGGAGCGCATGCGACTGGAACGGGCACGATATCATTCGACCAGCACTTTGGCCTCTTCCACTAACAACTCTGAGCCTACCTCTTGCTATGCTGAGCTCATCAAGTGAGTCACAGTTTATTTTTTCATCATTACTATCAGCTTTCTGACCCCCCTAAAATTTTATTTTTTGTCGCCTATCGGTGGCTGAAGTGCGAAACCACGTATCCTCGTTTGCGTCATCGCAGACGTCCTGTCATACTTTATTTTTTCTTTGGAAGACTAGTAAATGTAATTTCTCAAAAGCTTCCTTGATTTTTCTTCTCAGCTGGCAAAGTATCCTGGAGATTTCCATACTCAGTCATATCACGCTGTACCTCAAATCATAATTAGGGGCTTGGAGAACAAGGGGCATAAGGGCAGTTTTTCTTTTTGAAAAATTTGGGATATTAATTTTTTTTGTAAAAATGGTCTCAATGCATATTCCGTAAAAAAATTCGCTCCCAAATTTCAATTTTTAAGCATCAAAAATTCAGTTTGAACTTTTTTTCTGCCACCACAAGGCTCCATGTAATTTCAAAACTTCAAACACATATTTCTCGAAATACTAAAAACTGTACCTACTTATGCGCCTTTTCCTCCAAACCCTTCAATTTTCCCTCTCTATCCGGGCTTAGTACCATAATTTCGAATTCTTTCCATAAAATCCCTCCCTAATTAAACAACTTAATATCTATATTTAATTGCGTCTTTCCTTTTCCTTTCTTTCTTTCTTTCTTTTTTTTTCCTTTCATTTTGGTCATTTCCATTGAACTCGCCTCTCTTAGGTGTTAATCACAATGCAATGTTGAGGCACCTGTAAATAAATAGATTAACCATCCAACCAAATTTATCTTCAATGAGTGTTTCGAGTACCCTCTGCTTTCCTTTATTACCGTATTTTTATACATTTTCTCCTTGTTATTTGCTGATTTTCTTCTTCTTTTCATTGTTTTCTATTCTTACATTGTTAATTTTTTCATTAATTTTTTATGTCTGTCTACCTTTTGTCGCCATTGCCTGAGATAATCTCATAAATGCTACAATATCATGTGTTTTGCGAGCACCACCGCACCGCACCATATCATCAGTGAGAGCCTTGCACTGAGATGTTGCTTTTTCTCTTGCAGATACCTGGCTCACTTGTACAGGCGGGGAAAACGACGTTTGATTAAGAAGTACCGTCTATTCATGTGTAGACGGCAGGAGCAACGCGAAGCGAGGGAACAGAGGCAGCAACTTGAGCGAACACAACAACTTGAGCAACAAAGGCAACTGGAGGCAGCCGCCAACTTGTCTGCTCCTGCCTCTTTCGCTGTAATCACAGAAGCCCCATCGGCGCTCGCGAAAATCTACCCTCGTTCGCATCCCTGCATTTCCGCTGATGGTTTGTACCGTAATCAACAATGGGTCAGTTGCGCTAGTCATAGAATCGTGTTTTGATGCTTGATTCTTGTGGGTCGGCTAAAAATGATAAGATCTGTCCAAGCAGCGACTTTCTACGTTCAATATTAACCGAAATCTAAGCCCTTTGAAAAGTCGGGATTTTGACGTCAGCCACCCGCGGTAGTGACAACCTTGGTTTCTTCCACCTCGCTTTCATCCGAGTTTCACGTTGAGTAACCAGTGCAAATGTGCGTCACTGACTGATGAAAGCAAATAGGAAGAAACCAAGGGTATCACTACCGCAGATGATGACTCTCTTATTCTCGTGGAAATTTTTTTCGACCTTGTGTCTCTTTTATTGTGCACCGGACACATTTTGGTCCATTTAGGTCTCATTATCCTCAATTATCCATTAAACCATTGAACTTGTTCAATACACAGATACACATACTGCTTCCGTTAATTAAAATACAAATGGTGCACGAAATTTGTAGGTGTCTGTAATTTGATGCACTTCATGTTAAAAATGGGAAATGTCGCCAGATGACGCCACTAGGCGATGCATTTTTTCGCTTTTAAATCTATTTTTGTACTGTTTCCCGTATCAGAAAAAAATTATAAAAAAAATACTATGAAATGAGCAGTCTCAGATTAAGTTATAAAAAATTTCATTGCAAATTCTCCATTATCTGGGTTTAGCTATCAATCTGAGTTTCCTAAAGTTATCGATGCATAAGTACACGGAAAAAATTGATTTCTGATTTACAATTCAATTATCAAAAAACAGAGACTGACGTGTTTCAAATGTACATCTAACAATAGTGGAAAGCTAATTTAACCACGGGGATGGTTAAATTAGCATTTTGCAATGTAAAATCTACATTGAAACATGTCAGTCCCTTTTTTGACTACAAAACGGTTAAATCGGTAATTTTATTATTCCCGTATATGGGTACTCAAAGAATGGCTAGGGCAATTTTTTTAACTATTTCGAATTTTTTTTCTAGAAAAAGTTTCGAATGTTTCGAGTTTCTGGGGCGCAGACTCCTCCTCGCGGTGCGGATCTCCGGTAGCGTCAGCTGGCGCCGAGCAGCTTGATTCGCGCCAACAGTCGACTGTCGTGCCCGGCATGCTTAAACTCCCCTCCATCAACACGCCCGCCTCATTTTCGCCTAAAAACGAAAAAGAAAGCAACGAGGTGAGTCCCTTAACTGCCGTACAGTGGATCGAGTCAATCAGAGAGGTCGAACATGACATTTTTGACTAAAATTGCAAATTTTGATGTTTAATTCGTCACAGTCTAAATTTTAAGCGGTGCTCCTAGAAGCAAATTTAAGTTTTGCAAAAACGGAATTATAAGCGGTTAAAATTTCAAAATTCTGTCCGACCTCTCCTATAGACTCAATTCACTGTGTGCCGTTTGGTTTTCTTCTGGTTCCCGGTATATAATAACTGTCACGCAAAATTTAAATAGATTAAATTCCTGAATAAAAGAATAACAGATACAAGGACAAATGGACCGCATTCAGCAGAAAGGAACCAAGCTACACCTACTATTGTCAAATATAATTGGGCAATTTAATTTTTCACATGAAAACGGTTGTGCATTTTTGTGCAAATTGCAGTGAATTTTCTGCAAAGCACGAAGTAAATTCCTTGAAATTTTCAAAGAAATACTCACAAACGTTCTGTTATAAAGAATGAAATTGCCCAATTAAATTTAGCAATCACTGATGTGGCTTGGTTCCTTTCTGCTAAACGCGCGGTCCAAATAGGAACATTCATTTCTCGTTTGTGTTATGTATGTGTGTATAATAATGTATCCTACATAATGGGATCCGCTATCAGGTGAGTTCACTGAATGACATGCATTGAGCTTTTCTCGTCAGCTTGCGTATCATCAAAACAGAGTGTGAGACTTATTACGTTTAAATTATACAATCTTATGGAGTATTGTTTCTGGTTGCAGAGAGCTAGCAATATGCTATCACCCCCCGGGACGAACCATCTGCAGCGGCGACGCAGCTCTGTTATGTTCAGTGACATGGTACTCTTGCACGACACGGGTCGGAACATCTGTTCAAGTGAGAAGATGACACAAACATCTGGCGGCAACATATGGAATTCTTTGACGTTCCATCAGGTACTTATTTGAAGCGGAATCATTAAAATGAGCGGTATCCAAAAGCGCAACCCTTAAAATTGAGCAAGGCATAGTTTGACATAAACGCAACGAGAGAGTGTCGAGACTCACCCCCAAAAGCGTATATTCCTAAATAAAGGAAAATTACAGATAAAACAAATCCATGCATTTTATCAACGCCTTGCCTTCTATGTTAAGCTAGGAATTTTTACCCGGTTTCCTTCCAATACTTCTTCATTGATTCGTTTTTATGCACCCAATTTGTTGCATGCAGCCCGATTGTTGAAACTTAAACTGGCTATGTTGGCAAGATAAGAATAATTTACAAATGGGTGGTTTTTCTACGAGGATTAAAAATAAACAAGTGGCACGGAATATAACAAAAGAAATGAACTATTCAAAACGACAATCCGGGTATCGGAACTTGGCTGATTTGAAAACGCCTTCAAATGCGGCGTGATACCTCACGCATTCCGGAGAGTTCAAATAGTTGTATCATTGCGCCTTTATAATGCGACGGAAGATTACAATTGAAATAGCCTTCATTGCGCAACTTGGGTAGGCATCCTTAAGCAAATATTAATACATTTTGCTTTCCCAGGAATTTTTTTGGAATTTCGCACGTCTTTTCTCACGCGTCCAGATTGTTCGTGTCTTAGTACAGGGTCGCAAATTATTCTAACTTCATTCAGCATGGAAAATGCTTAGTAATGATTAAGAGATTTTAAATGGGCTGTAATCTAAGCACGACAATGTGGAGGCTTGGTGCCGTGGTGTTCTTCAAAATACACATTATTTTCCTCAATGACGTAATCTTGTCTTTTAGGAGGTAACCTCCGGTCAAATCAACAAACTTTTTTCTGAGTAAATGCATACTCTGACTAAAATGAGCAGAAGTAGATATCTCACATCAGACTTGCGAATAACACAAGTGTTTCACCAGTATTTCCTTGACGTTTTACAGGACACTGAGGTTAATTTGGTGGCAAGCTACAAAAGTATGACCTGCCAGGAGCTGTTGGCGTTGAGTGGAGCTTTAATTGCAACGTTGCCAACGGGTCAAATAGCTCTGGATTCCTTGTACAACGCTCTGAGTAAGACCAACCAGACAACCTGGGTTCCTAGCACTTCCTTTGTAGAGGCCACCAACAAAGACTGGGTCCTGAAAGGTGAGCGGCTACTCATTTCCAAAATAGTTTTCTCGATAACGCTAGACTAATTCGTTCGCATATTCACCTGTTAGCAAATTTCTTTACGGGTCATTTGTCACCTCAAAACATGAGATTACCACTTTTTTCTTTACTTCCAATAATAATTCTGTTGCATTAAGCAGATGTCTGATAGACTCTGCCGGAAATGTTTGCTTTTTTTTTTATTTCATATTGGTTCCTTGGAGATCCAAAAGGCTGATTGTTGAAATTTGTAGACAAAGCGGTAGACAAAGAAGACAAAAAGGATACAAAGGGATCCTGTTGGTAAGCGGGTGGTTGTAATGGACATTGGGCGTCAGAAATAGACTAACTAACGGCAACCCACGAGAAACCCGATAATTAATCCATCTTTTACCCCCTTAGTCTATGAGAGTCACCCTTTTCAACCAATAGGATCGCTCCATACTCCATATGTCTTCTATGTCCATCGCTTTGTCTATCAACTTTAATAATCAGCCCGCGGGTGCGTAATGAAGTTTTGTCAGAAGACCCATATATGCCCAAAACTATTTTTTTTAATTGATTTTTTTTTACTTGTCGTTTTTGACGTTATGTAGACAGTGTAAACACGTGTTGAGGCACAACACAAATAAAATAGGCTTGCCTATATCCCAGACATGGATTATCTTGCGTTGAGCACATGAAATTCCCTAATTTACACTAACACTAAAAGTCAAAAACTGCGATGGGTCGTTAACGACCCAATGGGCATATATGGGTAAGTACTCTAAAATAAGTACTTAAGCGAAAAAGAGACAAAAATAATCTATGGTGCTACAAAAGTATCCAGTACACTGAAATTTTATCTCTTTGCAGGACGAGGCCATAATATTCGCGAACCTAAAGAAGAGAAAGAACATCACTCCTGCTTTCGTAATGTCATATGTTGCTTCCGCATTGGATGCTCCAACTGCCTATCCAACTCCAGATGCTACATCAAAGTGATCGTCAACCACAAATACTTCAGCCAGGGCATTCTCCTCGCCATCCTCATTAACACCCTTAGTATGGGCATCGAGTACCACAATCAGGTAAATTACATCCTTCTCCTAAAATTAAAATAATTACAATAAATAATGCAATTAAAATAATTTTCGAGTTGAGTTTGAAAGCTAGGTATAACCGGTAGTTCTATGTAAACGAATTGCAATTGGACGTATTTCTGCCAAACGGAACTATGTGCATTAAGACATGAGCCCTGGGACCCATAAGAACATATGAATAACAGGGCTTACGTCATAATGCACATAGTTCCGTTTGACAGAAATACGTCCAATTGACACTTTCCATTACTGAACACTCCTCGCCAGGGGTGGACTGGCCATGGGGGTGGAGAGGCAATTGCCTCCTAACAATTTGCCGCGGAGGTCCCGGAGGGGCCCCCGCGGCGAATTTTTTTCAAGTCATCGTTTTTCCCCCGTAATTTTGTAATTTTCCAATCCTTTTCAGTCACTGAAAGGTCCCAAAATCCTTGAAAATTTGTCTCTTAGAGACATGAAAGGTCGCCTAAAGCCTATGTGATAAAATAGCCCCCGAGGAATCTTGAGAATGGGTTATTTTGAAATTCAAGTACTGCAGGATTCAACTCCAATAATGCTTAAAATTGCGTTTAAAAAGTGTGAAATTTTCAACATTTTCCGGGGGAGGGGCCCCGAACAACAGGAGGGGCCCCCACATTTAGATCGCCTCCTAAATTTTCGACTACCAGTCCGCCCCTGCTCCTCGCCATAACTGCGGCTGTTTCAATTGCAACTTTATCGATTATTTTTAAGATTGTGTTAACTTGATCATTGTCTACGAATATCAAAATACGCACACGCCTCAATAAATAATTTCTTCTTTCATTCCTCATTCATAAATTCAAACATTTACGACCCTTTTAAAATAATCAATAAATAATCACCAACCTCCACGCAGGAACATTGAAATCCGTTCATCGTCCAAATAATATGCCACTGTTTACCGTGATGAAGCCTATGGCACCTGAGAGCGGTTAGTCATACTTTTTTTACATTTCAAGGAATATGACTTTGAAGCTTGGAAATTACATTGCATCGGCTCGAGGAACCCGTCGGAGGGGGGGGGGTTGACTATGTCGCTATAAGATGCTGTAGCCCTTTAATTTGTGTATGGGACCATCTTGTAAATCTCTAGTATTAATATTATTTTTTCTTACTTTTCAATGATAGCCTCCGGAATTGACAGTGATAGTTGAAATCAGTAATGTGGTTTTTTCTGGGATTTTCGCCGTCGAGATGCTGCTTAAAATCATTGCTGAAGGCCCTTTTGGATACATCTCAAACGGTTTTAACGTTTTCGATGGTATCATCGTTGTTCTCAGGTAAGAGTACCATGCTAATTCAAGCGTCCTGTCACTTACAAGGGTCATCCGTAATATCAGTGAAGTAATACAGAATAACTCACACTTTTTAAGGTCTCACGTTTGACGAATGTGTTTTTTCATACCACGGTTATCTCAAGCCAAGCTCATCTTCAGGTACTGTCAACGAAACAAAATCTTTTGCGGCATTTGTAAAATTATAACACTGGAATGCGAAAATTCGGGCTGTCGACTACAGTTGACTGCCTGATTATTCGCATTCCAGTTTTTTCCCCCATTTTTTTTCTTCTTCTTAAAAATTGACGCACAAAGTTTCATTTCGCCAACCACACCTAACGATGAGCCCCTACCTTAAAATAGCCAGCTATGGTCGTGTGAAAAAAGTTCATCAGATTCGAGACCTTTAAAAATGTAAGTTATTCTTGATCATGAAACCTAGGATTTTTTGCGAGAACCTTTAAGCCAGCCTTCACTAAATACTTCGTCTTTAATTCGTTTTTTATGAACCTAGTCCACTCTCTTTAGGTAGCGCTTGTGACAAACTCCATATAAGCGCCTGAACTTCATCATAACACCTAGATGCAACTATTCGAGCTCTACGGATGTCCGTATTGCATACGCACGGAGTTGAAGGCGTTTTGATCCTCTGGGCACTCAATGCACCGCTTCACTCGCGGCGCAATGAGCCAGCGCAGCGACGAGTACTGTTATGATCCAAAAAGACGGATAGCTGCAATTCTTCGTTTATAAAACAAGAAAATCTCTTAATGCACAAATGTTTGCCCTATAGATTATGCCTAGTAAATTGTGACATTAAAATTAAGCACAGAAGATACTCACACCTACACTTTCATGTAAAACCGTTACAAGTTAACAGAGTATATTTTCTAGTTACAGCAACAGGGCTTTCCTAATTGGCATGACTGAAAATAATTTAAGTAGGATGTCCATGTTATTCTGATGGAACGTGCTTTCATATCAAGTACTGTTACTCAGAAACAACAATACGAGTATTTCGTGTTGGAGCAAGGTAAAACAATTCAAAGTGAACATTACGACGGTGTAAGTTGGCAATCACATAACTCGGTTTGCACCACTTCCAACTTTACCAACTTCCTGTCATACTTTATTTTTTAAACGGAAAACTACTCAATGGCAATTCTTTAAAACTGCCGTGATTTTTCTTCTCTGCGCGAGGAAAAGTCTGCAAAAACTTCAAGGAATGATATCAATTTTTTCTCCTTCAAAATAAAAACATAGAGGCGGAGATTTTCAGACATCGCAAACGAGATATGCGATTGCGGATTTACGCCGTCAGTTATTGTTATATTGAAAGTACCTACTTTTTTTCTCAGTGAGTTGCAAGAAACATAGAAATTGTATTTATATATCGATTGCTTTCCTCTCTGTCTCTCAGTGTTGTTGAGTTGGGTCAGTTTTACCTAGGCAAAGGAGAGGGAAACTCAGGTCTTAGCGTTTTGCGAACTTTCCGTCTTCTCAGAATTCTGAAACTAGTGCGATTTATGCCAAACTTGCGTCGTCAACTCTTCGTCATGCTTCGAACAATGGACAATGTGGCTGTGTTCTTTTCTCTACTCATCCTCTTCATTTTCATATTCAGGTAGTAGCTCTCAGTTTTTTTCTTTTATTTATTGCTTCCATCACTAAGTTGTCAATGAGCAAAGGCCTAATGGTTAGCCCCTTTTAAATGCATATCCTTGCACTTAGGACGAATCATAAGTTTGGGGAAATATGCGCATTGTATTTTCACCCTATTCCTCATTCCATTAAATTGACATGCATTCATTAAAATAAATTGGTGGCTTTAACTGTCGAAGTTCGGCTCTACATCTTTCGCAAATCAAATAAAGAGATGTACCACATAAGCAATGGTAAAAATTGATAACCACTTTATCACCTGCCCCTGCGATTGATATTATGCATCACGAATAGTACATCAAATTTCTAATTTTTGCAAGGGCAAGTAGGTCAACTTGATATTTTTCCCATAATCGCAGTAAATTTCAAAAGACCATGAGACAAAAGGGGGCAGTTTATTGTGTTTTGTGGTATTTAGCAAGTTCAAAGCGACTAAAACAGCCGTACATTCTATTTCTCTTGAAAAAAGAGACGTAACTGATTATTTCCTTCCATTAAACAACATATTACAGACTTAGGTACTTTTTATAGGATAACTGAATGTTCTTAAGTTGCAGGAGTGTAAATATTTTTCTTTTTTTTTGTTTCTCCACGACACAAGTTCAGAAAATGAGAATTCCGTCGTACAGTGCTGCTGGCTGTAGCATTGGAAGTCTCGTACATTTAGGCTCGCCAAGAAAGTTTATTAAGTCTAACTCACTTTCATCCCCTCCCCGCCCCCCTTGCATGAGTTGTATTACATTTCCAACATCATGTGTAGTATTATTGGAATCGAAGAACACCGAAATAAGTTTTCAACATTTATTTTAAAAACATTCTTTATTTCCAAGACCTTTGAAATAATCTTTGGTGCTGCTCATTTTTTTTTAATTTCGTTAAATTTTATAAAATAACCACAGTTCTGCGGCCAAGTCCCTCGACGAAAATCCTTGCCTTTCCTGGGTCATATTTTCAAAATTTAAAAACATCGCTTTAAATTTGAGAGTAGCAAAAATCATAGAAATCGGTCCGGTAAATCACTAAAACGAAATATAACAAAAAATGAAAACTCATATCTTTTTTTTTTTTTTTTTTTTTTTAAATCACAATTTCACCACGTAATATTAAAATCTGGGTCATATTTCCAAACTTTAAAGAGAGCGGGCTCATCGGAAGGTTTCAAACCTACATTACTTAAATCGATAGATAAGGTCATGAAGCATCATCTGCAAAAAGAATAAATTTTGACGCAGTAGGTCTTTGAAGCGATGACTAAGATGAAAATTTGAGGGGTCAGGAAGCTCATACCTAGAAAATTGCAAAAAATCGAGAAAGGTGATTTTCTAGGCCTACTAAAAGCTCTTTCAGATTACCCATGAACTCGAAGCGACATTCAACTCTGAGAGATCACAAATATCATGAGCCATCTTTCAAAATGTGGACACGATGCCAACTCGGAGGCCGCAGGGGGTGAAAGCCATGAAACATTCAGGGTATTCTCTTTCCAATGTCTCCAAGTTGGCCAAGAGCTAGAATGAATTAAAATCTGCTGTGTTTTTTAGTATCTTGGGGATGAACTTATTCGGATGCAAGTTTTGCTCGAAAGAGGACCGTGACTCAGATGACGTTCAGTGCGATAGGAAGAATTTCGATTCATTGCTTTGGGCGTTAGTCACAGTGTTTCAGGTATTCCTCTCTCGACTAGTGGCTAATATCCCTGTTAGTGACTCCATGTCACCACTCCTATTAGCTCTGTGTTTACTAACCCTACGTAGAATAGTCTCTCACGCGGAGAGAAAAAGGATCGTTGCTCTTTCAGTCCTCTCGGTGGATCTAGTCGTCGTTACAATATTATCTGGGGGTCCCGCTAACAATGCAGCATAGTTATCGGGGCCGAATTCTTTGTTACCACAAACGTAATATTGTAACTACGACTGGAAAAGTAGACTGGACCTGGGATCCTTTTTGAGCATTGTAAGGGAAACGATTCTTCTATCACCGCTCAGACGCATCCCAGCAAAGCACGTTCATACGTTTCCGGGACTGTTTCGAAGGTTACAGTTTTTGTGGCGCAATTTTGTCATATTTCACGAAATATATTCACCTTTCCAGCTTTTTATGAATTATGGGAAAGTTCGGATGCTTCACATAGTGCTTGCGAGATTAGGTCCATATCAGCTAGGTTAATGAGCTTTATATGAGTGTGCGTAAGTAATTCAGTATCACTGGAATCTCTGAAAGTTCTGAAAAATAAATTAGAGAGAAACTCTAAACGCTCAAATTCATTTTTCACCTTTTATCTCACCAGATATTGACTTTTTGTAGGGCTTATGGGCTGGGAAAAAAAAGATGCACCCATATCCTGGAGGAAAGCCTAGGTGCATTAATGATTTCCGTAAGAACGTCTTTATAAGTTTAGACTATAGAAAAGACAGGAAAAATTTTGAATTTTTACACAATAAATATATTAAAATATTATTGAAAAGTACTTCCAATACACCAGGTATGAATGTCTCAAAGCCACCTAACACTAATTCGGGTATTAGATAAAATTTTGACGAACCTCCAATTTTTTTTCTTTTTATTACATAACTCAGTCTATATTTTTATAGATAGAAACTATATAAGTTTAATTATGTTTGTTGCATATAGAGGCAGTTTACGTTTAAGTTGTCCTCTACATAGAATTGTGATAAATGAAAAAGTTAAGGCATTTAAATATAACATTTTGTATTAGTAAACTAAATCACAGACAATTGGAAATTTTCTCAATGATGTAGAAAATAATTTATGATCGTTTTGATCTAACTGAGTTTGAGCTTTACCTTATTTCCAAGGGTATTGCAAATTCATCTATGCTGATATTCACGTGACTCCTCATCATGTTGTGTCAGTGCGCTTTGTGTATGTAAATGGTTTAAATACCTACTTCAAGCCTCATGAGCTATAAGTTCAAAGAATGTTGTAAAGTCTTCCTCGGGAATTATTTTTCTATTAAACTTAACTTAGTGACCCTATACAAATTTTCTTAATCTCACAATCAGCTGATTCCAATTTTCTTTGTTAAACTTCGACTTATTGTTTGAACCTCACGTGTTTTAGAACTACTATTGGAAGCCTATATCCCTCTAAAAATTAAATAATGTACCAAAAAAAGTTGATTTGTTCTCATAACAAAAAATGTAACCATGACGTCAACAAATTTCTCTGCCTTCTTAACCAATATAAGCCATCGAGGACCAGCTACTCTGTTCTATCCCAAAATTTTTTCGTTATTTTCGTCCGTTAGTAGTAAATTCTTCAACTGATGTGGATCCGTATTTGTGCTCAAAGTTTTAAATATCCTCATATCAATTCCTATGAATCCACACGTAATTTATCCAAATGTGAGCTCAGCTTATTTTTAAAGTTCCCGTCCATTCTTCGTATCAATCTATTCTTTTCATTTATACCGGCCCGAGGCCCAAATTTTCTCGGCACTTTTTCACGGAAATGCAATATCCATCGATGAGTCCGAACTGCTCCACCAGCCAACCGAAGGCACCAGGACGGACTTTAATCCATATGTAATTCGTCTAAAGTATATTTGATGCCGGTGGAAGGACCGGACAAATTCGGTACCGCCCCGAGCTGAGCGAGATCAGCTCAGGTAGACCGCAATCGGTCAAAAATTGGTATGGATCCGTAACATGGAGCACCACCTAACCAGTGGTAACAAACTCGCTGGACGAGGAGCCAAATAATTAGAGCAGGCTACTTACTGCTACACTTTTCTAGGCTTAAGCATTAGGAAAAATTGGTTGTTCCGAAATGCAATTTTACTTGGGCGTGTTGAATAATTGCTCGGAAGGACGTTTCCGTTTTCCGAAAAATAGGCAAAAAAAATAAACTTGTTCCATTCATCCTCAATAGATCTCTGGGCAAGGTTTGGAATGAAACACTACAAAATATTAAAAAAAAAAAAAAAAAAAAAAAATTCACGAGGAAAAACGAATTAAACGTCGGAAAGTCTGTTAATCTATTTTTGAACCTAATATCAGTATTTATCAACAACATTAGCTGAGTGGTAAAAATACAGATGATGTTTTATATAATATGACATCCATTAGGTCTGCTAAAAATAGTTGTTAATATTTCGTTCAGGAGTTATAATTTCCGAATTTCCTGTCGCAAAAATCATTTTTTACGTAAAATTTCGAGGAAAAACCATGCACCAGTTTATTCTAGCTAAAACTTTGTCTATTGGTTCATTGTTTACCCTCGTATTGTTCTTAATAGCCACACCTATTTGTATTTTTGTTTAAAAAAATAAAAATAAAATAAAACACTCCAGTGTGTGAGATTGATCAAGTAAGCACATTGAAAATGAAAGAAAGAGGGAAGGAAGGAGGAAAGAGAAAAAAACTAATAACCTGAGAAACTGATCCCTTTGATCCTTTTCTGTCTGTTGCTTTTATCTAAAAATTTGACTTTACGCTATTCCTTGAAAGTGTTCTGACCTCTCCGTCTAAAATAAGTCGGCACAATTTTCCGGTCAGGTACTGTAATAATTAGATTTTTTCTCTTTTTCTTCTTTAATTAATTTTTTACGCCCCTGAACCCTTATTGGCTGGAATTGATGCTTTATACCCAACATCCTAACTATGCATCTCCTAATTGCTATTGTTTTCCTCTTGCTCTTAATTGTTGCTCCAAACGATGTTTCATGAACAATCAATATGACTATTTTTGATTTTTCCTCGGGTGGATATTTTTTAGCGAAGAGATGATAATGCCACCTAGAGTTTAAGCAATGCATGTTGCACATGTTGGTGCCGCAAATCTCACATAGAGTGACGAATTTTTCATTGACCTTACCCAGTTTTAAACGCATCGATGCGAAGGGGGTCTGCCTACCATGTTAGAAAAGACGTCTACGCTGCGATTGTGCTGTAGGTACACAGTGGCGACTTTGCAAGTTGGCAACACTGTTATTCCTCCATT